AAAAAATGGTTTTAAAATTTAAACTAGGATTTTTTCTTCACATACCATTCCCTTCATGGGATATTTTTCGACTATTTCCATGGGCTGATCAAATTCTTCAAGGATTGCTAGGTAATAATATTTATAATAATAATTTAAATAAACTGATTCCCTTATAAAATTTATTTTTTTCTAAGGTTGCGATATGGTTGGATTTCATATAAAAGACTATTGCATAAATTTTTTGGATTGCTGTTGCCGAAGTTTGGGCTGTCGCGTCGATAGAAAAAAGTTTATCGTTGAATATGGCAATCGCATAGTACGTGTTCGTTCTATGCCCATTGGTATACCTTTTGACCGATTTGTTGAAATGGCTCAACGATCAGCTCCAGTTTTAAACTCACAATTACAAATGGTACTGAGTGTAGATCGCTTAGACTACACTAAAGGGATAGTACAGAGACTAAAAGCTTTTGAATTATTATTGGAACGATATCCCCAGTACAAGGACAAAGTATTACTTATGCAAATATCTGTTCCATCACGAACAAATATCAAAGAATATCAAGACCTTAAAGAAGAAATAGACCAACTTGTTGGACGTATAAATGGGCGTTATTCTTCTCCTAATTGGTCACCTATAAGGTATATTTATGGCTGTGTTAGTCAAAAAAATTTGACAGCTTTTTATCGAGATTCAGCTGTTGCAATGGTTACACCAATTAAAGATGGTATGAATTTAGTAGCTAAAGAATTCGTTGCTTGTCAAATCAAAAAAATACCGGGTGTTCTTATTTTATCACCATTTGCTGGGACAAGTGAAACGATGCAAGAAGCGTTAATCTGTAATCCTTTTGATTTATTGGATGTTACTGATACTTTACACAGAGCTTTAACTATGTCTGATGATGAAAAGATATTAAGAATGAGTGGTTTGAGGCACCGAGAAAAAAATAATGATGTCGACTTTTGGATGCGTTCATTTTTAGAAGAAATGAATACCATAATAATTGAAGACGGAAATAATGTTTTACCAACTATTATGCAGCCTCTTACTTTACAGGATTTCGAAGATTCTTTATCTAAGTAAAATACATTTGTAAAATATTAATTGTTTCTGTATCTAATGAAAAATTTTACTATAGGTATATTGGCGACACAAGAAAACTGGCATTATTACTAGATTATGATGGAACATTAGCCCCATTTGTTTTACGTCCAAACCTTGCTGTCTTACCTCCAGAGACTAAAAGTATCTTAGAAAGATTATCTATTATACCCGATGTATATATTTATATTATATCTGACAGAAATGTTTACAATTTAAAGGAAATGGTTAGTCATGAAAATTTGATTTGAATATTTGTCGAATAAATATTAAATAGTTATAGTAAAAAAAAATATTTTACTTATATTAGGTTGGTATTGAGAGTTTTACTTATGTCGGGTATCACGGAATGGATATTTTACGTCCCGATGGCAGTAAATTTTCATATCCAGTACCAGTAGAATATAAAAAAAAGGTTGAAGCGTTGGCAATAATACTCAGAAGACAAGTAAATAATTATATAATTAGTATAAAAATTAAAAATGTACGTGTACATAAAACATTTCCTTTTTATAGGCTTGTAAATATGGTGCATGGTTAGAAACTAAAAGTTTCTTATTAACGTACCATTTTCGTGGAGTTCCTCCTGAATATCGACCTGAAATTCTAGTTACTGCAAAGCGAGTTATTTTAGAAGCAGGATTTAAATTAATCCAGGCTGATTGTACCCTTGAAGCTAAACCTCCAGTACAATGGGATACGGGACGTGCTTGTTTGCATATTATAAACACTGATTTTGGCTTAAAATGGAGTGAAAACATCCGCATTATTTATGCTGGGGATGATATAACTGATGAAGATGCAATGAAGGTAATGTTTTAATTTTTTTTATATTCTAAAACAAGAATTTAATAGTAGTCATTTTATCCGACAGTCATTGAAAGGTATGGCAGCAACTTTCAGAGTGACTCAGTCTCACGTTGTTAAGACATCTGCTGCACGTCGTCTGCCGAACACTGAATCAGTGTTGACTATGTTGAAATGGATTGAAAATCACTTTAACAAACGTATATCTCATCAAGATTAGTATTAGTATTCTTAATAATAGTCTATAAATGTTATAATTACTATTTACTAATAATAATGGTTAAAGTAATACATCCAATAAAATGTCTCCAAAATACTATTTTTGAGCTGATAAGTCAAACAGTTTAGATGACTTTGATATCTTTCCAGTGGTGGTGGTTATTATATCCTTAGTATAATATTAAGATGGTATTTAAAAATTATTCAATAAACTAAAACATATTATCAACAATGACATTTAGATGGTATCAATAAAATAATTAATATTTAATATAATTTTGTAGATATTTTTCGCTTGATTATCTGTCAAAGTTTGTAGTGTTAGTTTTAGTTAATCTTTTATATTGTTTGAATTATAATAGACTTCAGACATCACTCTTATTTTTTCTTCGTTTCTTCATTGTCTCAAAGCTTACAATTTTTTAATTGTATGTCGTCGTTAAACAAATGTTGAGAAATGTTGCTATTGTGTTAAGGTCAGTAGGATTGGCGATTCCTTAAGACGCGTCTGTCAGGGTTGTTATGTTTAAAACATTTTATTTTAATCAGATGTATAAAACAAGTTTTAAACATGTAATAAAAAAACCTTATACTTTAAAACAAAACAAACAAAACAGTATTTAAATCAATGATTTTTTATCAATATTTTTTAAATATAAAAAATTAAAAATTAGTAATATTTTGTAAATAGTTATTAGTAAATTAGTAGTTATTAGTAAATCGTATTTTTATTTTTATGTAATTTCTTATTATATTCTTTTAGTTTTACCTATAACAATATATTAATATTATAAAAAATTTAAAACAAAATTTGAAACATGCTGTAGTTGTAAATTGTATTACATACAAGTTGAAAACATGATATACAAATAATAACATAATATTATAAACTGTATAGAATTAAAAAAAAAACTTCCTTTTATCTAATGAAAATAAAACTAGAAATAAAATAACTAACATAATACATAAATATATAATATAATAAACAGTATACAATCAAATAAACAATACTGATTTTTGTATAATGAAAAAAAAAAAAAACTTTAAATAATAAAACTATCTTTTATACAATAAAAACAAAACTTTATATAGTTAAAACCTTATTATACAAATTGTAAATCTTATAAATATAATAATTGACAATTGAGATCATCTATTACTAGTTTAAGTTCTAGAAAATAGTTACAAATTTTGAGCATTTCTCAATACCCAAACGATTTCTTGATTTTGAATGTATAAAACCAAATAATGAAAATAACCTTTCTATTCCTGCTAAACTATATACAGCTGTAAATAACTGCACTGTTAATATTTTAAGATCATCTGATATTAAGTTCTTTTTAAATAAAGAACTCCACCATGTCATTGGACTAATACTATTGAAATAAGTATGATTTAAATGGACCACACTGTGCTTGATAATTTATTACTTCGGCCATTATATTCGGATGATAGCTGTAGATGTACTGCAATGCTGAATCAAACTCTTCTTCAGATAAACGAGAACGAATATGTTTAGTATCGAACATATTTGTTAAAAAATTTAGTGGTGTTACAGCCATGTCATATCTGTCTTTTAGTTTTT